TATGATTTTTTTGTCTAGGTCATCAAGGCAAAAAAGCATAGCGTAGGGCCCTGAGCTTCCAAGCTCTCTCGTTCCCGTAGCTATGCAGAGGACGTTACTTCAGTAACGTCTGGCGCTAGCCAGGGTCCACACAGCTTTAATTTGGTGTTTGTTCCCGTAGCTATGCAGAAGACGTTACTTCAGTAACGTCTGGCGCTAGCCAGGGTCCACACAGCTTTAATTTGGTGTTTGTTTGTTTGTTTGTGTCACGCCTGGCACTATCCCGTATCTGTCCCGTACCGTATCGCACAGCTGGCCATTTGCTGGCTCCCGTATCTGTCCCGTACCGTACCGTACCATCAAACACAGCTGGCTACAAACAGCTGGCCACAATATTATGTACATGTATACGACTCCCTGTGTGTTGCAACTGTGCTTGAAGGGGACGGTTGCACTTTTTGTAGCTCCGTTTTATCTGAGTTTTCAGTCGTTCCTCTTACTAGTCTTGCCAAGGGGGTGGCTCTGGGTCCACCAGAGTTGCCCCTGGCGTATTTCTGAATTTGCTGGGGCGAGGGTTCCGCGACGCGGTCGCCAAGGCAGTGTCTTTTCAGTCACGACCGTTGTCGTCCTCGTCTCTCCATTCGCGGTGGTGTAGCTGACCCCCGAATGGTTTCAAACTGCGAAGCTCGGAGGAGTACAGTGGTGGCAGAGGCATGAGCTGTGAGTGGAGACGTTGCTGGAGATGGATGGTGATGCAGGGAGAAGAGTTGCGCTGCCTGACGCCGCGTGGGAAATTGTTTGAACCTGCAATTTCAGTTCGAGCGCGGTGGACTTCTAGACGATGTGTCCTCATGGCTGTTTTTCAACGCTTGGCCTATCGCTGATATCCCTGCGTGGGATGTTCTTCCAGTGGAGTCCAGGAGGGACTTCGGGTGCCCACACTCCATCACCTGGTTGATTGTTTCGGAACTGCAAAAATAATTATTGTTTCCTATTTTGTGCGCATCTCTTGTCATCTCTCTTTTCTATACGTCGCACACCAGATGTACTACTATCGCCGTCTTTCTCTTGCTTTCTCTCCCTGATTGCTGTTGCAGTTTTGTTTTTGTTGCCACTGTCCCTCATCATACCCATGCTTGGGTGGTGGGCGGCGTGACCCGTTAGGGTAGCTGCCAATACAGTACGACTCCCTGATGTATAGAGAGACTTTCTGGAAAGAAATAGGGAGACGAGGAGGAAATGAAATTAGAATGGATGTTAGTTGCCGAATAGGTGATAGGATGCGTCAGCAAAGACATACTTCGGAAGAGAGATCCCGTCGTCTCCAAAATAGGCGTGAACGGGCGAGTCAGCGCCGGTCACAGGAAACGTCGGCAGAGTGATCCCGTCGACCCCAGAACGCGCGTGCTCGGCAGAGTCAGCGCCTTCCCAGGAAACATTTCCATCAGTTCCCACAACATGCACGATGAGCTAAGTAACAAAGCATAGCGTAGGGCCCTGAGCTTCCAAGCTCTCTCGTTTGTTTGTTTGTTTGTGTCACGCCTGGCGCTATCCCATATCTGTCCCGTACTGTACCGTACCAGCAAAGACAGCTGGCCACAATATTTTTGTTTGTTTGTGCCATCGACATGCCTGGCGCTATCCTGTACCTGTCCCGTACCATCAAGAGTACGGTACCATCAAGAGAATGAGTATATATGCGAAGTGTATCGGGGGAATGCATTCAGTGCAGTAACATTTTGTGTGGATTTGTGTGCGAGGCCGAGATCCCACTAGCAGGCTGGCTGGGCCGCCTGTCAACCAGCCCGGGAATCGCATGTAGGCCGATAGCATAATAATTATAACGTATATACAGTCATGTAGATCTATAGCAGGGAGTCATATTATATAAACGACTCCCTGCTGTATGGGGAGATTTTCTGGAAAGAAATACGAAGTAGGGAGACGAGTAAATGCAATTAGAATGGATGTTAGTTGCCGTCAGTATAATAATAATAATAAGAAGAAGAAGAACGCCCGTGATCGGCAGAGTCAGCGCCGGTCCCAGGAAACGTCAGGACAGACATCCCGTCGACTCCAGAACGCCCGTGATCGGCAGAGTCAGCGCCGGTCGCATAGCTATGCAGAAGACGTTACTTCAGTAACTCATTGAAACGTTTTTGCAATACAATGATGTAGCTAATCAAAGGAAAAACATTTCCATCAGTTCTAACAACATGCACGATGAGCTAGGCAACAAAGCATAGCGCAGGGCCCTGAGCGTCCAAGCTCTCTCGTTTGGTATTTGTGTGTTTGTTTGTTTGTTTGTTTGTGTCACGCCTGGCGCTATCCCGTATCTGACGGCAAAAAATCATAGGGATGTTATAAATTTTTCAATTTTTTTCAGGCATATCCTGGGATTCGAACCCGCACTATCGCCCTACATGCATTCCCCCATACACTCCGCATTCATACCCAATCTTCCAAGTTGCTTCACGTTATGATCTTGCGTTTGAAAGCCCTATTTGAATATTGCGGGCAGCTGTATGTGGCCAGCTGTGTTTGATGGTACGGTATGGGAGACGGTGTCGTATTACAGTTGAACATCGATTATCCGACCACCTCTGGGCAGACAACTGTCAGGCGGTGTTCAGATAAGGCAAATGTTCCGGATAAGAAAAAAAACTGTCACTCACACACTTTCAGTGGTTCTAGGGCTTGAAAGTGCTACGTCACAGCATAGCAACAATTTCAAAAATTCAAAAATTGGATCCACTTGGATCCAGTTTTTGTATGGATCCAAGCACATTTCAAGCCGTCTTACTCACAGCAAGGTGATGTAACCAGTGAAACTGACTGATTTGGCTACTGGGGGCGGGGTTACAACTGGTGGCGAAGTAAAAGTCACCCCTGCATACGACATGAGTGGGTTGCTATGCACCCACATACTGAGGCAATAGCAAAGTCACACCTTAGTGGATCCAAAATAGAAATCTGATGTCAACTTAGTACTCCCTGGCCGTTTTTGACCTCATCACTTTCAAGCCCTATTACTAGCCGCACGACCTTTTTACTTTTTACTTTTCAAAATTTTCGTATTTTTTGAATGGCTCACTACATGCACAGTGCGTACTCTACGGCACGTGCGCCCAAAAAAACTGTTACGGATAATCGAATGGTCGGATAGTCGATGTGCGGATAATCGATGTTCAACTGTACCCTCGATCGTACCTGTCCCGTACCTATCCCTACCGTACGGTACCATCAAAGACGGCTGGCCACAATGCATATTCAAATAGGGCTTTCAAATGCAAGATCATACTGTGAAGCAACTTGGAAGAATTAGTATGTATGCGAAGTGTGTCGGGGGATGCATGCAGGGCGCGATAATGCGGGTTCAAATCCCAGGTTATGTCTTAAAAAAAGATGGAATTTTTTAAAGAATTTATAACATCCCAATGCTTTGTTTTGTCTAGGTCATCAAGGCAAAAAAGCATAGCGTAGGGCCCTGAGCTTCCAAGCTCTCTCGTCATGCTCTTTTCACGTTGTGGTAACATTTCGATGGTGTTAATTCTTCACTGAACATTGTGTGATTTGATGTGAAAATTTGCATGTCCGGACATGTCCGGCCAATATTCCAACTGGCAGGACATTGTGTCAGAGCACATTTTAATCCTTAGCGCATGCCCTGCCCTGTGTGGTATTTGTGTGATGTGTAATGCCCTGTGTGGTATTTGTGGTATTGTTCTGCAGGAGTGGGGTGGCTATTTCATCGTCAACGGCAACGAGAAGATCCTGCGTATGTTGATTTTGCCCCGGCAAAACTATGTGAGTATGAGCACTGCAGAATAGGGCACGTTGTCTGTGCTCTCAGCTATGTGAATATGAGTACTGCAGAATAGGATACAGTTGTCTGTGTTCTCAGCTATGTGAATATGAGCACTGCAGAATAGGAAGCTTTATTAAGGCGATAAATAGTACCCTAAAGTACCGCCAGAGCGCCCCGTCTCGCGAGAGCGCCCCACCTTGATTTTACAGCAAAGGGAAGAAAATCATATGCAGAATGCTACTAAGTTTGTACGATGTGAGAACCTTCGTGTAAGGTCACACTTGGTATGCTTTTATGTGAAGCTCGTAGGTAAACTGGGTACGGATTGACTGCACAATGTGCAATGTTTGTACAAGGTCCGTGTCGTATGACCTACAGACAGGAATCCACCTCCACATTGCGGCCACGAAAGGACGAGATGGTGGGGCGCTCTGGCGGTACTTTACGGTATAAGCGAAGCGGACATTACAAAATGATCAATGAGAATACATGTATGTTAAAATTGATGTTCCTAATCGATTTTCTTGAGACTATCATCAAGGAAAAATCGTCTCACAATAGGCCTTATGCACTTTGTACAGATGCACGGAATCCCGTAGAATCTTGTAGAATCCCGTAGACCCGGTTGGGTGTTGAATGTGCAGGACCCTATTGTGTTTACTGCTGTACTTCCACTAAGAAATGCGCCATGAAGGCATTTCATACGAAATCTTTTTCCGGCAGAGATCTAGCTAGTCGTTAGTTTAATCCCAAAGTGAAGAAGGCTTGAAAAGTGATCGTTTGCCATGAATTGTGAGGCTAAATGGGTCAAACGCGCATGTATAGCACACAATGAACACCCAACCGGGTATGTACACACCTACGGCCCTAGTACAGAACTTCGTACATCTGTACAATGTGCATAAGGACTTATAAGCTATGCGGAGAAACAAACTACTTATTCGCTGAGGCGAAAATGTTGAGAATTTAGAGCCCAGATCAGTGTATTTCATTGATTCTCTGGGTACCTGGGGCAAAGAGTGGTACGGTTGATACCATAGTGACCGTACCGTGTACAGTCAATACCATAGTGACCGTACCGTGTACAGTCAATACCATATTGACCGTACACGGTACAGTCAATACCATATATATTATTGACCGTACACGGTACGGTCAATACCGTAGTGACCGTACCGTGTCCGATGCCCCTGTCCAGGATTGCAATGTCCACGCTGAGCACGTCGGCACGTTCAGTGTCCGTTTGTGTGCTCCTGGATTTCAAACCGACAGGGTACACACGAAGAGATTTCAAACCAACGGGGTACACACGAAGAGATTTCAAACCAACGGGGTACACACGAAGAGATGAGGTGCAAAACCCAATAAATGCCAAATTTCAGAAATGTGATTTTCAGCTCATTGTGATCTGAAGGTCACATTCAAAATTTGACAAGAACCGTTTCAAAACTGGAACCCAAATTTGGATTTAGATGCCTGTCCCTCCAGAAACTTGCGGAGACATTTCGGAAATATCGCGGAAAAAGTTGCGAGGTAAAATGCCACAAATTGCGGGGAATATTGCGGATTTTGTCAAATATTGCGGGATTATTGTGGTAAAATTGCGGAAATTGCGGCCGATTTGGTACTTGTACTGTAGTGCAGTGGTGTACAATGTACGAGTCGTACAGCATAAATCATGCATGACAAAACAGAACGTGTGCTGTGCTGACTGTGTTCAACTGCCTGACAGGAGCTTGCAAGACAGCTTTCCTCCATCCTCGGACAACACTCGACGCGAGCCTTATTTTGTGACTTGTCAGCCGGTGATTTTCCCAGAAACTTCTCCATTCTGGTGTCGATCTCACAAGTAAACTACTGACGAGCTTCAAGAACTAAACAACATCGAAGAAAGACTCGAATATCGCAGTTGCTTTTCGAAATATCGCGGTGCTTTTCAAGTATCAAGGACAGTTTTCTACAATAACGCGGATGATTTTTCAAATATCGCGGAATCACGGACTTTTGTTCAAACCGCGGAAAACAACGCGGCCGCGGAATCGCAAGTTCCTGGAGGGACAGAGATGCCAACCGCAAATAAAATGAATCCTTTTCTTGGCCATTATCCGTGCGGCCACTGTCTGTACATAATGTCCTGGAGTTGTAGAACATTTATGCCTCCTCCCAATATGATAATTATACAACCTGGTCGCAAGTGACCCGGTGTTTGTCCAAACGGGTCCAAGTACCTCCCAACCGGGTCGCTGGCCCGGCTGACCCAGCTCTGGATCAGACACGGAGTTGTTTTATCCAAATAGGTACCCGGTGGGGTCAACTGACGGATGTTTCTGTGGGACTTTCCCCTGTGTGTGGTCCTTGCTTCTTTTTCCGTGTGTGTGTGTGTGTGTGTGTTGGTTTGTGTGTGTGTGTCGTGTGTGCGCCCGTGTGTGTGTGTGTCGCGTGTGTGTGTGTCGTGTGTGTGTGTGCGTGTTGGTGTGTGCGTGTTGGTGTGTGTGTGTGTGTGTGTCGTGTGTGTGTCGTGTGTGCGTGTTGGTGTGTGTGTGTGTGTGTGTGTGTGTGTGTGTGTGTGTGTGTGTGTTGGTGTGTGTGTGTGTGTGTGTGTGTGTGTGTGTGTGTGTGTGTGTGTGTGTGTGTGTTGTACTGGATTGTAGCCTATTGCCATAGTACGGCCCAGCTGGAAGCAGCGCGGCCCCATGTTCACGGAGTTTGGCGTGACAATGCGATGTGTTCGACGCGACCAATCCGCATCGGTAAGAGAGCGTGTGTGTGTGTGTGTGTGTGCGCGTGCGCGCGTGCGTGCGTGTGTGTGTGTGTGTGTTACTTGTTCATCACCCTTGCAAGCTGTTGAATGGTGTAATCCCAGCACAAGTTGCTATGTTTAACATAGCTGTTCGCTACCGTCGTTCCTGCGATGGGCGTGTCTGAGTCTGAATATTACTAGTGGCTCGCTGAGGTGTTTGAGCGTATGCTTATGAGTTTGACTAGTGGCTTGCTGAAGTATTTGGACGAATGCTGCTGCTGCTGCTACTGCTGCTGCTGCTGCTACTGCTGTTATTGTTTGTTGGTGGTTGTTGTTGTGGTTGTTGTTGTGGTTGTTGTTGTGGTTGTTGTGGTTGTTGTGGTTGTTGTGGTTGTTGTTGTTGTTGTTGTTGTTGTTGTTGTTGTTGTTGTTGTTGTTGTTGTTGTTGTTGTTGTTGTTGTTGTTGTTGTTGTTGTTGTTGTTGTTGTTGTTGTTGTTGTTGTTGTTTTCGCAGAACATGGTGCTGCACTACCTGTCGGATGGTACATCCACGCTGACGTTCTTCCGAGACAAGCAACAATACCTCATCCCATTCATTGCTGTGTTGAAGGTCAGTGGCCAGCCAGGCATTTCACAATAGGACTACCCGTATTGTCGCGTATACCGGTACAAGTTTTTTAGGAGTTTTCTGCATCTGCAGATTAACCCTTTCACTGCCACTGTCGACGAAAGTCGACAGCGCATTCATGCACTCTGAGTGCCACTGTCGACGAAAGTCGACAAGCAAACATGCAGTCCCCAGTGCCACCGTCGACTTTTGTCGACAGGCAGACTTCACCCAGTTTGGGCCACTATTTTTGACTATTGGAGATGTTTAGCCGTGGTAGAGGGCCACTAGGCCCTAGAAGAGGTCCATACCCATCGAAATACGCTGCCAGAAGCATGGGTTGCCATTTGAAAAAAATCGAACCAGCGTCGTTGAAAATGCGCATCTGATTTTTAGCCGAGCGGCGCGGAAGAAATCGGTTCTCACGCACTTCCACCTTGCTGAGTCGGTGCCAGTTTTTTTCTCTTTCCCGTCAACTTTCATTGCAAGGAGCATGACATTTGGTTCAGACTTGATGCCTAGCCATTGCCCAAGACTCCAGGCGGCTATCCATTGCGATAGGCGGTTGGAGTCACGGGTAGAGACAACCACACGACGGATTCCTCACGGACGCATTCACTGCAAACTTGGCGGAAACAGCGCTGGTGGCGCTCACCGAGTCCAGAACTAAACTTTTCCAAGAACTACCACGTTACAATGGCGACCAGCAAAGTCAAGAGACACTACAGGTATGTCAGCTACAACATTATATTCTTTCTACAACGACACCTACCTCAAGCTCAATACCTGACGATCTACTGCAAGCTGATGCGAAAGTGCATTACACCCGCGAACGCCGCGCTTGTCAACGGAACAGGGAAGCGCTTCACTCTCCGAAGTCGAAATGTATTCGGACTGCTGCTAGTCAGGAGAACAAACGACCACCATGGCGGCAGAACATTCCGCAGCTGTTCACCGACACGATCTGCTTCACCAAACGACTTACCATCGTTTCGTTCTCCGAGTTTTCTGGTGGCAGCAACTAGAATTTCGTCCGCAACAACAGGACGAAAGTCTCTCGCAACTGAAGTCCTGTTGCCACGAAGACAGAGAACATTCCGCACGCCATCTCTTCTGCTTCCAGTGTTGTAGCTCTCCGGTCCACTGGCAGATCTTTCAATCCCAGCTAACAAAAAAAGGATCTGCTTCTCTCTCCAAAACAACAACAACTAACTTTACTTCGCGAGTGTCCGGGCCGATCGTGTACATAGTGTATGTAGCGCATGCGGCGCACGGCGCACTTTCGCATGACATGACATGCATTTTTGCACAGCGGCTGGCGCTAGAGCGCCCAGCACGGTTGTACTTCGGATTTTGCGATTTTTTTCGACGGCAATGGCTTTCTTTATGAGTTGTCTACCTACGATGTATACTTTGGAAAGCGATATTCCGTACAGAAAGTACCAAAAAATCCATGAGAAGTTGGCCTTTCGATTTTTCGAGCTGGAGGCAAAAAGTGCCTGGCAGGGAGGGGGTGTACAGCTCAGCTGACAGCCTGGCAGGGAGCGCCTTGTCACCTTGAGTGGTCAGCTGGCAGTGAAAGGGTTAAAGCCGTGCTTATTCCTCTAGAAGCTGATGTCAGTGCTATGCTTCTATTCAAATCAGGCTTCTATTCAAACCTCGTATCTCTATGTATGTCAATACTAAACCAGGCGTATGTGCTGACAGTGTATCTTTAAAATCAGGCTTCTATTCAAATCAGGCTTCTATTCAAGTCAGGCTTCTATTCAAATCAGGCTTCTATTCAAATCAGGCTTCTATTCAAATCAGGCTTCTATTCAAGTCAGGCTTCTATCCGAACCTCGTTTCCCTATGTACTGTAAATATACAAAATTTCGGCGCTGCAAAATTTCGGCACTCCACGATTTTTGACATTTCGGCGGCGATTTATTTTCGGCGTGGGGTAGAGGGCATGGTATAGACTAGTGCGACAGATACTGTGAAAAATTTCATCGGCGTTTTAATTTCGGCGTTTTGGGTCGGTGCCGAATATAGCCGAAATTAAATAGCTGCCAAAAATTTGTATATTTACAGTATGTCAATTCTAAAGCCAGGCTATGTGCTGAATATCTTAAAAACAGGGAGTCGTAAAATACCGGGAGGCGACACGAGATGCACAACCGCGTCGGATGATTGCCTCAGCTCGGGCACGAGTGCTGAGACCTCACGCGCTGCATGGCGAGGGACTTCCCATGAGGTCAAAGCGGCGCAGGACGCGTTCGCTGTTTGGTCCAAAAAATTTGAAAACTCAATAAAATTATCCTGCACACAACGAATCCAGTGTCAGCAGTTCGTTTTGTTTTTCTAAGTAATACTTTGTGCCTTGGCCTTCGAAGTAAAGGATGATGGAGCTTGACAGAGATGACTGCCAAAGTGATGAGTCCACCGTGGAAGATGTAGATGACGCCACGTATTCACTTGGTGACCTGAGTTGTGGGGATGTTCAGCTGTGGGCTACAGGTGAGATTCTTTCGTTTGCATGTTTTTGTCTCTTCCTTGTGGACACGAATGTATAATCTGTAGCATACCTAAGTGCCCGAACTGACCCGATAAATTAGGTGGTCGACACCATCCTTTTCATCCTAGTCTGCCCACGATGCATTGTCTGTTCACTGTGACAGGATATTTATTGAAGTCCTGAAAATTTACGTGTGTACCTAGTATGTATCATCACCGTAGATGATGTAAACCTCCATCCTCAAACCATACTTTGTCTATGTGCAGATCGATGTAAGAGTGGTAGTGCCATCATGGTGTACAGGCCTATGGAAGGTGCAGTGATCCATGGAATTTGCAAACTGCTGACAATGAGACAGGCGAGTGTTACTGAGGCGACGGAGTCATTCCTGCATGTTATTATGACACGGTTACACAAGGCATCAGGTACTGCAAATCTGCTACGCCAGGAAGTGTGCCAGCTGAAGGCATGCAAGGGTGCTGATATTTCGCAAGCATGGCAACAAATGCTGTCCGTCATCGCAACAGCTATTCCCGAAGTGAAAATCAATTGTGAAGGTCAGTGCGTTTTGCATGCATGTTGGAAAAATTGGCTTCTGACTAGGTATGCAGACTAGGTATGCAAACGCTGGCTTTTGAATACTAGTACAGTCTCTGCAACCACCAGTCCTTATATGTTGTCTTTTTCTTTTCTCTTCTTCAGATTTGGAAGTCACATCTGCAGTGCTAGCGAATCTGATAAGCTACCTGCATGCCACGGCTGCCGCTGCTATCAGGAAAGCGTCAATAGCACCATCCAAAGCTGCTGAAGCCATCCCCGAACCGGTGATTGACAATTTGTCTCACCTTGCTGAAAAGTACCATGGTGGTTGGTGCTTGGTGGCCGTGCGGCGTGAGCTGGAAGGAGCAAGGTGTCGCAACGACAACTTGCTGCAGCTTATACCTTTATTTGGCAAGGATGCCGTGACAAGCCTTCAGCCTTGTTTGGAGAATTCAGGTGGCCCGTCGTGGCTCGGAAGCTCTGTATAAGACACCATACGTCACAGATAAAAACAACTGAACCAGTGATATGTGAATTTTGCGCTTGTGTGTGTGTGTGTGTGTGTGTGTGTGTGTGTGTGTGTGTGTGTGAGTGTGTGTGTGTGTGTGTGTGTGTGTGTGTGTGTGTGCTTCTGTGATAAGTGGTATAAGCAGTCCACAGGGTATTCACCTTGAGTGCATTCGCCGATAGTGTGACTTTCGTCGCACAGAACCTTCTTCAGTTGGTCAGGTGACTCGGCGTGGCTCGGAAGCTCTGTATAAGACAAAATACGACACAGATAAAAACAACTGAACCAGTGATATGTGAATTTTGCGCTTGTGTGTGCACGAGCATGCATGTGTGTGTGTGTGTGTGTGTGTGTGTGTGTGTGTGTGTGTGTGTGTGTGTGTGTGTGTGTGTGTGTGTGTGTGTGTGTGTGTGTGTGTGTGTGTATGTGTGCTTGTGTGTATGCTACTGTGATAAGCGGTACAAGCAGTATACAGGATATTGACGGGTATTCACCTTGAGTGCATTCGCCGATAGTGTGACTTTCGTCGCAGAGAACTTTGCTCAGTCGGTGAGGCGACTCGGCCTTACGTTTCCTGAAGGCAATGTGTTCAGAACAGTTATGAACAGCTATGAAAAGTTTTAAGAAATGACAAAATTAATATTGTTTGCAGTTCATGGGCCATATAGATGTGAAACACTTTGAATGCAGAAGAATGAGGATAGTGGCATCAAATACTGCATGGATTCTGTTTGGTATGCTACTTTTTTCCCTTCCATGGAAAGGTGAGTACATCGTCGAACTTCATCTCGAAACTTCACACAAACCTAGAATGGAACTTGGACAACATGAAGGGGCCATGGGCATGGTGTGTTTAGTGGAGAACTATTCCGAAAACAGGGTGTCATTCGCATTGACTCAATTCAAATTTGAGTACATTTCGTGAATAACTTACCTTGACATTCCGTCGTCTCCAAAGCAGTGAACTTCCAACAAAAAAAATTAAAAGCCACGGCTCAACCTAAGGTAATGCGTGGTACGTATCAGAAACAACCAGCTTTCGCTCTGGAGATCCAGAATAGCCTCGAAGCATATAGCAAAAACAATTGAGAAAAAGAAGATGACGACGACGTTTCAATCACGCTTCAAATTTCGCGGGTCGAGTGCGGCAATCCTCGGATCGTGAAATGTGTGGCGTGTCGCCTCCCGGTATTTTACGACTCCCTGCTTAAAAATCAGGCTTTCATTCGAAACATGCTTCTATACGAGACACTACAGTAAACGGGGGATGTAGCCGGGGGATGTAGCCAGGGGATGTAGCCGGGGGATGTAGCCAGGGGATGTAGCCGGGGGATGTAGCCAGGGGATGTAGCCGGGGGATGTAGCCAGGGGATGTAGCCAGGGGATGTAGCCAGGGGATGTAGCCAGGGGATGTAGCCAGGGGATGTAGCCGGGGGATGTAGCAGGGCGATGTAGCAGGGCGATGTAGCCGGGGGATGTAGCCGGGGGATGTAGCCGGGGGATGTAGCCGGGGGATGTAGCAGAGCGATGTAGCAGGGCGATGTAGCCGGGGGGGTGTAGCAGGGCGATGTAGCAGAGGATGTAGCAGAGGATGTAGCAGGGGGATGTAGCAGGGCGATGTAGCAGAGGATGTAGCAGGGGGATGTAGCAGGGGGATGTAGCCAGGGGATGTAGCCGGGGGATGTAGCCGGGGGATGTAGCCGGGGGATGTAGCAGAGCGATGTAGCAGGGCGATGTAGCCGGGGGGGTGTAGCAGGGCGATGTAGCAGAGGATGTAGCAGAGGATGTAGCAGGGGGATGTAGCAGGGCGATGTAGCAGAGGATGTAGCAGGGGGATGTAGCAGGGCGATGTAGCAGAGGATGTAGCAGGGGGATGTAGCAGGGGGATGTAGCCGGGGGATGTAGCAGGGGGATGTAGCCAGGGGATGTAGCAGAGGATGTAGCAGAGGATGTAGCAGGGGGATGTAGCAGGGCGATGTAGCAGAGGATGTAGCAGGGGGATGTAGCAGGGCGATGTAGCAGAGGATGTAGCAGGGGGATGTAGCCAGGGGATGTAGCCGGGGGATGTAGCAGGGCGATGTAGCAGGGCGATGTAGCCGGGGGATGTAGCCGGGGGATGTAGCCGGGGGATGTAGCCGGGGGATGTAGCCGGGGGATGTAGCAGAGCGATGTAGCAGGGCGATGTAGCCGGGGGGGGGTGTAGCAGGGCGATGTAGCAGAGGATGTAGCAGAGGATGTAGCAGGGGGATGTAGCAGGGCGATGTAGCAGAGGATGTAGCCGGGGGGTGTAGCAGGGGGATGTTGCACAAATATCACCTCACCTTAGTGCATCCAGCTTGTTCATAGAAGAAGATGTTTCTAGCACTGCCCATTGTACCTTTGTTGAGAATTTCCTGTTACCCAGCTTTCTCCTCACCCACTTGTTGCAATGTGCTGATCCCCTAACTCCACCCTGAGTTGGAGATTTCAGGGGTGTTGGTTGTTGGGTGCGTCTCTCAATAGAGCAACCGAGTCTAGAAAGAGTCTCTATCCCCTATCCCAGGGAGGCCTGACGCGATCAAATTGCTGGTAATGAGCAAGTCCGAGTGTGTGTGTGTGTGTGTGCTTTCTGTTTGAAGTATACATGCCTGTTAGCCATGGACTGCTTCTGGCTAACTATTACGTTAGATTCACTCTTGTGTAATCAATGGTGCTAGTGAAGCTTTTATCAGATCCACTCTGATTTAACCACTCACACTAGTAGCAAGTATTACCTTCACTGGGGGCAGGGGTAACTGCAGTTGGATCCCGGGACGGATACCCTGATGCCGTCAATCCTTTTTCTGCACCTTGTCCTCACCCACTTACTGAGGTGTGGTGAGCCCATAAGTGGGATCATTTTCAAGTCCAGCCAGAGTTTTGGGGATTTCAGGGGGTGTCGACCGTTGGGCGGTTCAATAACCAATTGAGTCATCTATCCAAGATTCCTTTTGAGTCTCTCTCCCCTCTCCCGGGGGGACTCGCGTGACCAGTTTTTGGCAGTGAGCAACAAGTAAGTAGTGTGTGTGTGTGTTTGTTTGTGTATATGTGTGTGTGTGTGTGTGTGTGTGTGCGCGTGTGTGTGTGTGTGTGTAAGCGCATGTGTTTGTGTATTTACACGCTTTCTCTCTCTCTCTCTCTCTCTCTCTCTCTCTCTCTCTCTCTCTCTCTCTCTCTCTCTCTCTCTCTCTCTCTCTCTCTCTCTCTCTCTCTCTCTCTCTCTCTCTCTCTCTCTCTCTCTCTCTCTCTCTCTCTCTCTCTCTCTCTCTCTCTCTCTCTCTCTCTCTCTCCTTGCAGGGCCTAGTGGAGGTGACCGATCATCAGATTTTCTCTGACCTCTGTCAAGGAAATGAGGACGATACCTATATCAAGAGGTATGTCTGCCATGCTGCATTCAATGTTTCTCCCAGAGCCCAGCGTATGCGCTTGCTGGCTTTTCTGCTAGCGCCACAACTTCTTTGGCTGCTGCTAGTCTTAACAGAATGCATTAAAAAAAACGTCATAGGTATGTTCATAAAATTAAAGGAAGGACCAAAGAACTACAAGTTACGCTATAATGTCCACTAACACCACCGGTTACTAAACAATCAGCTCGTGCGATAACATTGCACGACACTGACCGACAGTACTGACGTTCTACAACTAACTGGCTAACAGCTGTAGCACATCTTGGACGCGCACTCCAACAGCCTTCCAACTTGGAAGGTTCTAAGTTATCTAAGTTATAGAAATAACATAAGGAGGGGAAGGTGAGCGCAAGCAAGATAAGCACGAGCTGAAAGTCTCCATCCGAGTCCATATAATTATATGGCCCAGAATCTGCGAAAACCAGGCTTAGGGTGAAAATCATTTTTTTGAGAAAATTGATGTTTTGTAAAAAGGTTGTCGCGTGGACGATCGAGTGCAGTGAAGTGGAACCAAAGAGAATCTCGCTTGTTTGAAGAAGTAGCAGTCATGGCAGGAAGGGCTTCCGGTAGAATATTCCCTGCTACTCCTCTAGTCACAACGAAGAGTTTTTGAGCTGATCGAACGGATTCCATCTCCTACACTCAGGGATGGCGAAATTTCTGCCCTAGCTGCTGCTTGCGGAAAATTGTGAAGAAATCGTCTCCAGTTAGAGTCGTGATGGCGATAGCGAGGAGAACCTGGACGACATCGATCCAGCCAATCGAAGTACGGCGATACTAGCTGTTTCTGGGCCTCACGCAAAAGGAACACGCGCAGCAGAGCTCATACGTTTGCAGCAAGTTCACGAGGAAAAAGGCTTGAAGCGCAGTGTGAAAACTGTCTTGAATTGAAGTCCTTGGCGATGAAGTGCTACTGGAGGCCAGGCGAATGAGCGAGCAGATCGAGAGGCCCCCACTCGAGACTTTCCTCGCTGGTCAGCTAGCTACAAGGGATTGTACAGCGTGCCGATATTTCACTTGCTGGTCAGCACCAAGCAGATACTGCAGCACGCCAGCACACTATGCGCTTACTATGAACAGTGGAACAGTTTGAAATGCTGTGTTCTTGCTTGTTTCTGAACAGTTGAACTAGATTCACCCGTCAAAAGGTGCCATCTCAACTGGAGTTGGGTTTCGTTGTGGTGTGTAGCGCCAGAGCATGCCAGCACATGTACGTATTCAGCCCCAGAATGTGCTGAGTGAGGAGCAAACAAAATTCATGCAGAACTGTGCATGGCCACTACAGCCTGCAGCACCAAGGGGCCACAACAAGCCTGCCCCCACATGCCTACCTTGTCATGTCACCTAAACAAAAAATCATCCATGTCTCTTCCTTCAGTCTGGTGCATCTCTCTTCATTTCTTTCCTGTGATAACAATTTTGTGTTTTTTTTGGATTTTTTTACACAATACCCTAGTGTGTTTGAGATAGATTTAATACCACTATTAGTCGACCCACACCTGTAATAATTTGTTTCCTGACCTCCCATGCCCGGTAGAAGCTGAAAATGGGAAAAAGTCATTTTTGTGAAATTTCACCCTAAGCCTGGTTTTCGCAGATTCTGGGCCATATGTTTCTTTGGAGTAGTATGGATACATGTATATCCGTACCAATGTACGGTGCATACTTTTCAAAGCGCAACATGGCGTACCTCGGCTGTCTCCTGGCCTAATCGGACAGTTATAAGGTCTATCGACGTTAGAATTGTCTCAGCTATCGGCTCGAGGAAAACCCGAAGGCGATCCGAGATCGAAGAGCGGAGTTATGAGCCTCGAACTAAATTCGCTCATCGGAGTCACCTTGGGCGCGTGCATTTTGAACTCGTTTTTGGGGGTTTCCCAGGACTCGCGGCCCACGCAGCCACACATAGTTCACTTCATCGCAAAAGCACTGCCTCTCCTAACACCTCCACCCGTCTGTTGTCCACTGCCTCTCCTAACACCTCCACCCGTCTGTTGTCCACTGCCTCTCCTAACACCTCCACCCGTCTGTTGACCACTACCTCTCCTAACACCTCCACCCGTCTGTTGTCCACTTCCTCTCCTAACACCTCCACCCGTCTGTTGACCACTACCTCTCCTGACACCTCCATGTGTCTGTTGTCCACTGCCTCTCCTACCACCTCCACCCGTCTGCTGTCCACTGCCTCTCCTAACACCTCCACCCGTCTGCTGTCTACTGCCTCTCCTAACACCTCCACCCGTCTGCTGTCTACTGCCTCTCCTAACACGTCCACCCGTCTGTTGTCCACTACCTCTCCTAACACCTCCACCCGTCTGCTGTCTACTGCCTCTAAGCACCTCCACCCGTCTCCTGTCCACTACCTCTCTTAACACCTCCACCCTTCTGCTGTCTACTGCCTCTCCTAACACCTCCACCCGTCTGTTGACCACTGCCTCTCCTAACACCTCCACCCGTCTGCTGTCCACTGCATCTAAGCACCTCCACCCGTCTCCTGTCCACTACCTCTCCTAACACCTCCACCCTTCTGCTGTCTACTGCCTCTCCTAACACATCCACCCGTCTGTTGACCACTGCCTCTCCTAACACCTCCACCCGTCTGCTGTCCACTGCCTCTCCTAACACCTCCACCCGTCTGCTGTCCACTGCCTCTCCTAACACCTCCACCCGTCTGCTGTCTACTGCCTCTCCTAACACCTCCACCCGTCTGTTGACCACTGCCTCTCCTAACACCTCCACCCGTCTGCTGTCCACTGCCTCTCCTAACACCTACACCCGTCTGTTGTCCACTGCCTCTCCTAACACCTCCACGTGTCTGCTGTCCACTGCCTCTCCTAACACCTCCACCTGTCTGCTGTCCACTACCTCTACAAACACCTCCAACCGCCTGTTGACCACTGCCTCTCCTAACACCTCCACCCGTCTGCTGTCCACCACCTCTCCTAACACCTCCACCCGTCTGCTGTCCACTGCCTCTCCTAAGACCTCCACCCGTCTGCTGTCCACTGCCTCTCCTAAGACCTCCACCCGTCTGCTGTCCACCGCCTCTCCTAACACCTCCACCCGTCTGCTGTCAACTGCCTCTCCTAACACCTCCACCCGTCTGTTGATCACTACCTCTCCTAACACCTCCACCCGTCTGCTGTCCACTGCCTCTCCTAACACCTCCACCCTTCTGTTGTCCACTGCCTCTCCTAACACCTCCATCCGTCTGTTGTCCACTGCCTCTCCTTACACCTCCACTCTTCTGTTGTCCACTGCCTCTCCTAACACCTCCACCCGTCTGTTGACCACTGCCTCTCCTAACACCTCCTTCCTTCTGTTGTCCACTGCCTCTCCTAACACCTCCACCCGTCTGTTGACCACTGCCTCTCCTAACACCTCCACCCGTCTCTTGACCACTGCCTCTCCTAACACCTCCACCCATCTGTTGTCCTCTGCCTCTCCTAACACCTCCACCCGTCTGTTGTCCACTGCCTCTCCTAACACCTCCACCCGTCTGTTGACCACTGCCTCTCCTAACACCTCCACCCGTCTGCTGTCCACTGCCTCTCCTAACACCTCCACCCGTCTGTTGTCCACTGCCTCTCCTAACACCTCCACCTGTCTGCTGTCCACTACCTCTACAAACACCTCCAACCGCCTGTTGACCACTGCCTCTCCTAACACCTCCACCCGTCTGCTGTCCACCACCTCTCCTAACACCTCCACCCGTCTGCTGTCCACTGCCTCTCCTAAGACCTCCACCTGTCTGCTGTCCACTGCCTCTCCTAAGACCTCCACCCGTCTGCTGTCCACTGCCTCTCCTAAGACCTCCACCCGTCTGCTGTCCACCGCCTCTCCTAACACCTCCACCCGTCTGCTGTCAACTGCCTCTCCTAACACCTCCACCCGTCTGTTGATCACTACCTCTCCTAACACCTCCACCCGTCTGCTGTCCACTGCCTCTCCTAACACCTCCACCCTTCTGTTGTCCACTGCCTCTCCTAACACCTCCATCCGTCTGTTGTCCACTGCCTCTCCTTACACCTCCACTCTTCTGTTGTCCACTGCCTCTCCTAACACCTCCACCCGTCTGTTGACCACTGCCTCTCCTAACACCTCCACCCGTCTGTTGACCACTGCCTCTCCTAACACCTCCACCCATCTGTTGTCCTCTGCCTCTCCTAACACCTCCACCCGTCTGTTGTCCACTGCCTCTCCTAACACCTCCACCCGTCTGTTGACCACTGCCTCTCCTAACACCTCCACCCGTCTGTTGTCCACTGCCTCTCCTAACACCTCCACCCGTCTGTTGTCCACTGCCACTCCTAACACCTCCACCCGTCTGCTGTCTACTGCCTCTACCCGTCTCCTGTCCACTACCTCTCCTAACACCTCCCATTGCCTGTTGTCTACTGCCTCTCCTAACACCTCATCCGTGCTAGCTTTCTTCCAATATCTACCGCTACCAGAGTTTGCGCCCGCCTGCACCTATCCCTAGATTAGTGTATACCTGTGTGATCCGATGTGTTTATAAGGGTACTGCTGGGTAGAACCCCAGTGTTAGTTGCTGTCTGATGATTGCCAAGCAGCATGAGCACTCGAAGTTACAACCCAACTGAAGGTATTCTGGCCAGTCTGCTATTTTTGGTTGTCGTATATAACTATGCAAATTGATCATTGTCATTTCCTGTGCGCAGAGATTTGTTTTGGGATCTTCTTATCCAGCCACATCTGATCCTTTCCACTCTAGTTCTGTCTGTTGAGACTGAATGGCCATTGTTTTTTGCTCTCTCTCTCTCTCTCTCTCTCTCTCTCTCTCTCTCTCTCTCTCTCTCTCTCTCTCTCTCTCTCTCTCTCTCTCTCTCTCTCTCTCTCTCTCTCTCTCTCTCTCTCTCTCTCTCTCTCTCTCTCTCTCTCTCTCTCTCTCTCTCTCTCTCTCTCTCTCTTTCTCTCTCTCTCTCTCTCTCTCTCTCTCTTTCTCTCTCTCTCTCTCTTTCTCTCTCTCTCTCTTACTTTGAACTCACAGTTGTGCTGTGGCAATGCTGCGACAAGCCCAGAACGACGGTTTCTATCGGCGTGAACATGTTCTGAATCACATTGGTGAGTGACGACGGAGTGTACTAGTTGATATGCATGTTCTCACCTTTTCTTCTGATAAAGGCACAGTGGCCGTCATCAGTTGCCGTCATCTTTTTAATTCACTTCTTGTTACTGTACAGGCAGAACATTCCGTTGGTTAATAATTTCGTCCAACTCCAAAGAAAGGGAGTTCGTCCGGTTGAAAATTTCGCCCATGGATCACAAGGGTGTATTGAAAAGCTGAACAAATCGACATTATGATGAAGAAAGGAAAAGGACAAAATGTTACGAGTTATGACAAATATTGGCTCACCATCCGAGTTCAAATCGACATTAGTCCAGCACTTAATTTAGTCCAAAAGCTCCTTGGACGAAAAAGACGTTATTTTTTCACGGACCTTTCATAAAACTTTTTCAAATTTTGTCCAAAAGTAAAAATAAAACTATAGGAGGCTAGAGACGGCTCTTCTCCAGAGATTCACCAGAAAACATTTTCAAATTTCATCTCCACCTTGCCGATAAACTCAAAAATGCAGTCAAAATGTGATCAAAATGACCCCTAAAAGTTGTACCGCCCCAGCCACCTTAACCCTATAACGCCTATAGGACGGATATATCCGCCAGACTGTACAGTGCATGCTGAGGTGACTTCAAACTTTCGTCATTCAGTCAATCCTTGTTCGAATTCAACGAACGAAAGGTCTAATCGTATCAGAAAAGCCTCAGCTGTCGGCTCCAAAAAACCCGAAGACGATCCGAGGTCATGGCGCAGAGTTACGACACTCGAACGAAATTCGCGTGGGCGAGTCGGCTCGCGCGGCGTAAAATTTGAAACGCCAGCAAGGGATTTTCCCTGACTCGCTGGCGACGCGTGCACGACTGGCATACGTCATTTTGAAGCTGCATTTTGAAGCTCTCTCCTGCAAAAAAATTGACCGTTCTGCGATCGATATTGTTGAAATGGCTGAGAATTTAGTACCGCGCTCGCAGGTCTGGCATTGGAGCGCTCAGATCGCGCTGCGGCGTTACTCCTACGACTCTATCAATTGAGAACTGGGTATGGCTGTGTTCGTCTTGGAGAGAGCTTTCCATAGAGCCCGAGATTGTTGGAATACTCCAAAGGATATCGAAATTACAGTCAGATGAAAATGTGAGTTTGTGAATTTCATGCGTCTCCTGAAATAATTTAGGCTCTAAAGGGTTAAACAGTATTGGTTGTTGCGCCTTGATCCACACAGGGTTGTAGCGTCTCTACGGATGCAGAAAACTCGGCCTCCCGCCGAGTCTAACGTGGACCGTGATTTTTTTAACCCGTTGTGTACCAGCCCCATCTCGAACCGTAACGTATGTTACGGTTCGACGCACTGCGCCGCGCCATTCGGCGGCGTCCTTGCTCCGATCGACTCGCGGTTTGTTGCGCTGGACAGCTGAGATCCCACTGCAAATTTTGATGTATGATGTGGGTAGGTTGCCATTTGAAAGTATGGAGAACGATCGCGGCGAAAAGTGCGCTTTGCAATTTCAGCGCTCTGCGATATATTTTAGCAATTTCGATCGTGTTTTCGTTCGGTTACGCTGCTTGTATCTGGAATATAGCTTGCTCTAGCTGTTGCCGATGTCTACTAGTGATGGTGAACGCCAGGAGAGAGTTGTAGTAGCGATATAATCTCAGGATCTGAATCGAAAATGAGAATTTCCATCGCTGAAGCCATTGCAGTATTCGCTCTCCAAGCAGCGGCGAGAGGGAGCGCAGCGATGGCCTGAAATAATCAAGGCAGGTGAATTTCCTCACCCATCGACTATTCCTGGTCTTCTCAATCGCCAATACCCTCGCTGGACGCAAGTACATAAGGGGCCGTCCGTAAATATCGATGTTTTTTTAGAGACGATATTGGTGCTTCTCTCCCTTGACCCCCCTCCCCCCAGAAGACGCACATGTACATCTAGATCATGGAATCAATATTTTTGGATGCTCATTTTTTTCCTTTTTTGTCAATAATATGAACCCAAGATGGCAAGTTTGCAGTATTTATATGGTCTAATTGAGAAGGAGAGCATTATGACTTTTTTGGTCGCCCTCGAGAACACTTGTGGCCAGCAGCCTTCTTGTGCTGCATTAGCCCATAGTAGGCATTTTCACAGCTAACCTGTCACTTTGCCATGGCCATGCGGTTCACAACTTCCTCAACTTCTCTCTCGACAAAGAACAAACTTCAGGCACGGCCAGTCAAAATTCACATTTTACATGAAAAGATGAGGGCGCTGGCGCGCTAGCGCTACCCGTGCAGTACAACTCATCGTACAAAAAGCGTTCAAAGTGCAACTCATCGTGTACTGGTGTAGCCAAAGCGGCTACGCTCGGGCTTGCATTTTGTCAAATCCTTGTTCAGACAGTGAAGACTGGAAACTCTTGTGGAGTTCGTCCGTGTTTGTTCGCACTGCCTCTACGTCTTGAAAAAGGTCTCCTGCAGGCATCGTTCGGCCGATTTCCACAATCAATAGCTCATTCTTTTGCTCTTGAAATTCGCCATGGCCGTACAGCTTCCAATTTTTGATTTTGTTCTTGTGTCGCGAGTTTTAGCTCCGCGAACGGAAGCTGGTTTCACATTTCTTGTATAGCCATTTAGACGTCCGCGTGCAGGGATCGGCGAAACTTCAGATATTTACATCGATATTTTTCTGATGCTCGAAAAGACGCACATGGCTCAAATCCCCTCCCCCCCCCAGACGCACCAATATCGTCTCTAAAAAAACATCGATATTTACGGACTAAGTGAAAAGTACATATTCAAATCTGACACAATTTCAATAATTTGAAATTTTGATGCAATTGTTTGGCATGTGGTATTCACGCAATATGGCTCTTTTCCGTCCATTTCGCTTAGGGTAGTGACTTTACTCCCTCGCACCCAGACGCTGATTTTTTGGAAACAAGTTTCTATACTTCCGATGGGAGAATCCGACATGGCAGTGCATTTCGGCGTGGCCAGGTCAAATTGTAGAATATCGCATCGAGTGAATTGCTTTATCTGAGAGAGGAGATGTTCGTGCCCTTGAGACCCGAAGTCCCGTTTCCATACGACAAAATCTAGGAGCTCTGCGCTCAGCGCTTTTTCAGGGTATGAATTCCGGGTTGTTCTGGTCGGGTCGCAGCGTCGCGGACTATTCCATCGTCTTCAGCGTCGAAAAACTACTGGCCATGTGAAATCACAAGGCGGTGAGACACTTTCGTCTTCCTCTACGAGCGAATTTGTTCTGCGCCAGCATACCTAAGTATGCAATTTCGTACGCGCAGTTCGAGTGACGAGGCGTGTGCACTGTACACTGTACTG